TTTTGGTTTTCTCCATTCTTCTTTGCTCTGGATGAGGAGAGATCCATTGTTGCATCTAGGTGGCAGCTTGCTGAGGCAGTAAATCTTTATGGAAGTAGATTGCCCCATCTTCCTTCCATGGAGTGGCTGGTGGGTTTGAACTGCCAACTTTTTGGTTTGCAGTCACATGCCTTAGGCACTACCCCACTAGAGCTCCTTTAGTATACCATAAGTACTTAGTAATGTTTATTGAATTGATTTGAGTAGCTATGAGCCCTATTTGGACTATAACAGCATTTTTTAGGAACTACAGCTAATGTAATAACAAGCACTTTTTTTTTAATGTTAGATATAAAAAAATAAGATTAGATCCACAGCAAGCAATGAAATTGTCTACCAAAACATTTTATCAGTTTTCTAATTTTTTAATCTATTATTTGATATTTGTAAAATATTATAAGAAGCATATTGATTTCTTTGTTGTTGTGTGACATTGAATAGATTCCATCTCATAGCAACTCTATGAGATAGGGTAGAAGTGCCCCCCTAGGGTTTCCTAGACTGTAATCTTCATGGGAGCAGAATACTGGGTATTTTCTATCACTAAGCAACTGGTGAGTTCAAATTGCTGACCTTTTCTATTAGCAGCCAAGTGTTTAAGCATTGTGCCACTAGAGCTCCTTATAACTTCTTTAGAAAGTATAATAATATTACGAACTTTATGGATTTTGAGTTACCTACCTATCCCACTAGCCACTCCTCGGAAGGAAGGTTGGGCAATCCTACTTCCGTAGTGATACTGCCTCGGAAACCCAAGGAGGGGTCGCTATGAGTCAGGTCTGACTCGACGGCACATAACAACAACAACAACAACAACCTATCTTTAGAATTAGAACATTACCAATTGTATTTTTTTGTTTAAAACAAGCATTCTCTCTCTCTCTCCCAAAAATAATATTTAGACAAGTACCACATAACCAAAGTTGTAACAGAAAATTACAATTTGCTTGAGGAATTTAAAACTCCAGATTGTGCAGGATGTACAGAGGTGAGAATAAATATTTACTTGTAAGTATATTTTAAGATTTACCTGTTAGAACTTTCAATGTTCAGAGGAAGTTAATAATAAAACCCCCTCTGATGGCATACAAAGAGCTACTGTAAATTTGAATAATATGTTTTGGGAAACATTTTAATAAAATTTATTTTGGGATGTATACTTTTATTCTTGGAAGGAGAAAAAATATCAAGACAGAATTTTCTACTGTTACTTATTTTGATACAGTTAATTAAAAACTGAAATTTGATATTTTTGAACTAAAAGGTTTTTAATTAGTTGAGGAAATATGTATTTTGTATCAGCTCTATTAAGATGTAATTCACATGCCATATAATTCACTCTTAGGACATATGACTCTATTCTTGTAGAAAGATGTAGGGAAAATATTTAATGTTCTTTTGAATTCACTAATGCCATGGATGGGAGCTCTGGTGGCGTAGTGCCTAAAGCACTTGACTGCTAACCAGAAGGCTGGTGGTTGAAACCCACCAGCCATTCCTCACCCACCAGCCACTCCTCAGAAGGAAGGCTGGGCAATCTACTTCCATAGTGATACCACCTCGGAAACCCAAGAAGGGGTCGCTGTGAGTTGGATCTGACTTGATGGCAGTGAGTTTTGGAGAATGCCATGGATATAATCTATAGATAATTTATTTTAGAACTTTTGCAAAAATTTGAGTGTTTTGAAGTAAAAATTTCATATATATTCTTAAGCATTTATTGCCTAATTTTTTTTTTGCGGTTAATAAATACTATTGCCTGTATGTTTTTTTTTCATTCTTCGTATGTTTTTAATCTACATTTTTTAAGCGCTCAGGTTTACTAACTAGATCATATTTGCTAACCTAAAATTAAAATTCTACCTTGATTTTTTTTCCCCCCTTGTCTTATGGCAGGTTTAAGATACATTTTAAACTGAGCCTCCCAAATATTGTGCACAGGGTATAAATTGTTAGTAATTAATTATTCATATTGTGATGGTTTTGTTTAGTTTTTAATATTCTTTTAATTAAATATTGAGTCATTGGAGACAAATTTCTTTAAATATATATGTCAAAATGGTTATCCATTATCATTATCTATATAAGTTATCCCCCAAGCCCAAACCCAAACCAAACTTACTGCCGTTGAGTGGATTCTGACTCATGGCGACCCCATTTGGGTTTCCAAGGCAGTAAATCTTTACGGAAGTAGATTGCCCAGTCTTCCTTCTGCAGAGGGGCTGGTGGGTTTGAACCACCAGCCTTCTGGTTAGCACTCAAATGCCTTAGGCACTAAGCCACCAGAGCTCCTTAAGTTATTAACCAGTTTATTTCAACTATCAGAGACAGAAACCCAAGTCCATTTTTTCTAGGTATTGGGGTTCTTGATTGGCTTTGGGGTTGACTGATGAGCCTTCTCTCACCTTATTTTTTGTTTTTTTTTCAGCAAGGAGAAATAATGAAAATAAAAGGAAATGAAGAGTTTTCCAAAGAAAGATTTGATCTTGCTATTATCTATTACACTAGAGCCATTGAATATAGGTAAGAGCCAGCTAACTAGCTAACTAACTAACTAACTGCCATGGAGTCGGATCCAACTCATAGTGACCCCTTCTGGGGTTTCCGAGGTGGTATCTCTAAGAAGTATATTGCCCAGTCTTCCTTCTGAGGAGTGGCTGGTGGGTTTGAATCGTCAGCCTTCTGGTTAGCAGTCACATGCCCTAGGCATTGTACCACCAGAGCTCCTAAGAGTCACATAGAACAATGATACTCTCTTTATGTGGCCGGTCAAGTTAGAATGGTTATCAGGAGAAATAAAATAAAGATGAAGATTTTGAGAATATCTTCAACTTGGCAAAACAGATTTTCTTGTCTTTAGCCATTAAGAAGTATTACAGATGACCTAAGTATATGAACTTAATCAAGTAGTATAATTCAAGCAAATCAGGCAGAATTGTGAATTTAGTTCTACCTTGCCCCATTTTCTTTCAACCTTTCCAGTGTAAGGTCATTTATTTTATGTTGTTTTCATCTAATTCAATCCACATTATTAACTGACTGAAAGGAGTTAGTTACTAATACTTAAGATGCCACCCATTGAGGGATTTTTCATTTTTAAGAGGGAACTTTTTAAGGATAGTGCTGAGGGAATGCACATACCCTCTATTTGCTCTGCTGCTAGAATTCTATGGTAATTCTCAGACTGCTTCCATGAACAATCTTGGTGGGGCCACCTAATTTTGTGGCAGCCTTTAAGGGTGTTCTGTAGACAGCTACTCTCTTTCCTACTCCTGAAACCTTGCCTTTCTCCAGAAGATATGGAGTAGATCAGGTTAGCATGCCACATCTGAAAAGCTGCTGTATCCTGAGGGAAAGGTGCTAGGGAAAGGGGAAATCTATTGCATCACCATAGTGGCACTGCTGTCAAGTCAGATCTGACTCATAGCAACCCCTCCTTGGGTTTCCAAGGCAGCATCTCTACGGAAGTAGATTGTCCAGTCTTCCTTCTGAGGAGTGACTGGTGGGTCTGAACCTCCCTCCAGCTTTCTGGTTATAGCAGTCAAATGCCTTAGGTACTAGACCACCAGAGCTACTCACACATAGTCAGATACACATAAAAAGGATATAATTTGAAATGAAGCTATTTAAATTATTGGAGGCTTCTGTTGTCTGACTTGTCAAGGTGGTTTAGTCATGCCCGTGCCAGTAACATTGTCCTTTACAGAATGTTAAGTCATGCTTTATAGTTTACTAAACTTTTCAGTATGTCTCATTAGATCTGGCCCTGTGAGCTAGGCAGAGCAAGTTAGAACTGTCTTCATTTTGAACAGGGAAACTTAGGTTGATTGGAACAGTTACTCAGGAATTGAAGAAGTTGGGATTTATCTGCTTAAGACGCCAAATCCTATATTCTTTGTGTTCTGCCACACATATATGAAGTTCTTGAAATTTCATTTTTTTCATGCCTTATGTTTTCTATGTGAATTTGTTTCACATGTAATTTTTTTTTTTTACACTGATGATACTTTATTTCTTTTAAAGACCTGAGAATCATCTTCTTTATGGAAATCGAGCTCTTTGTTTTCTTCGTACTGGACAGTTGAGGTAAGTTTCAAATCTTAAGATATTTGTTGAAGTACCCTAATCACTGAATTATTTATATTAAATACCCATTTTGGGGGAACATTTCCATTTGCCAGGCATGCAAAAAAATCTTTGCATAGTTCATTTTCAGAAATAATTAAGTGGTTAAAAGAGGCTTTATACATAATACCAACAATGATAGCAGCAGCTATCTTGATTAAGTACACACCATATATAATGCAATACTTTATATGCTTACATATTTTATTTAATTCTCAGAACACTCTCAAAAACTAGATAATGTTACTCTTCACATTCTACACATGAAGAAATGTTAAATCACTGCCAGTAAGTAAGGATGCCAAGATTGAGCACCCAATGATGTCAAGCAGAACATCATTAAAAAGACAGGAAAGGAAGAAAGTAACAAAGTGGATGACAGAAGAGACTCTAAAACTTGCCCTTGAACAGAGAGTAGCTAAAGTGAATGGAAGAAATGCTGTAATAAAAGAACTGAACAGAAGATTTCAAAGGTGGCTCGAGAAGACAAAATAAAGTAATAGAATGAAATGTGCAAAGATCTGGAGTTAGAAAATCAAAAGGGAAGAATATGATTGGATTTCTCAAGCTGAAAGAACTGAAGAAAAAATTCAAGCCTTGAGTTGCAACATTGACACATTCTATGGGCAAAATATTGAATGATGCGGGAAGCATCAAAAGAAGATGGAAGGAATACACAGAGTCACTGTATCAAAAAGAATTGGTTGATGTTCAGCCATTTCAGGAGGTAGCATAAGATCAAGAACCACTGGTATTGAAGGAAGAAATCCAACTTGCACTGAAGGAATTGCCAGAAAACAAGGAATTGACAGAATACCCATTGAAATGTTTCAATAAACGGATGCAGTGCTGAAGGCACTTACTTATTTACACCAAGCATTTTGGAAGACAGCTACCTAACCAACTGACTGGAACAGATTGATATTTATGCCCATTCCAAAGAAAGGTGATCCAACAGAATGTGGACATAATTGAACAATGTCATTAATATCACATGCAAGTAAGATTTTGCTGAAGATAATTCAAAAATGGTTGCAGCAGTATATTGACATGGAACTTCTAGAAATTCAAGCTGGATTCAGAAGAGGATGTAGAAGGAAGGATATCATTGCTGAAGTCTGATGGATCTTGACTGAAAGCAAAGAATATCAGAAAGATGTTTACCTGTGTTTTACTGACTAAGCAAAGGGTTTTGACTGTGTGGACCATAACAGATTATGGATAACATTGTGAAGATAGGGAATTCCAGAACACTTCATTGTGTTCATGTGGAACCTGTACATAGACCAAGTGCCTATTATTCAAACTGAACAAAGGCATACTGCATGTTTTAAAATTAGAAAAGGTATTTGTAAGGGTTGTATCCTTTTACCATACTTTTCCAATCTGTATGCTGAGCAAATAGCCTAAGAAGCTGGACTATATGAAGAAGAATGTGGCAAAAGGATTGGAGGAAGACTCATTAACAACCCGCCATACACAGATGACACCACCTTGCTTGCTGAAAGTGAGGATGACTTGAAGCACTTATTGATGAAGATCAAAGACTACCGTCTTCAGTATGGATTATACTTCAGAGAAAACAAAAATCCTTCCTTACAACTGGAGCAATAAGCAACATTATAATAAATGGAGAAAAGATTGAAGTTGTCAAAGATTTCATTTTACTTGGATCCACAATCAACACCCATGGAAACAGCAGTCAAGAAATAAATGATGTATTTCTCTGGGAAAATGTGCTGCCAAAGACCTGTTTAAAGTGTTACAGAGTAAAGATGCCAGTTTGAAGACTAAGGTGTGCCTAACTCAAGCCATGGTATTTCCAATCCCCTCATATGCATGTGAAAGCTGGACAAGGAATAAGGAAGACTGAAGAAGAGTTGATGTCTTTAAATTGTGGTGTTGGTGAAAATTACTGAAAATACCATGGGCTTCCAGAGGAATGAACAAATCTGTTCTGGAAGATGTGCAGTCAGAATGCTCCTTTGAAGCAAGAATGGCCAGACTTTGTCTCACCTACTTTGGTCATGCTGTCAGAAGGGACCATTCCCTGGAGAAGGATATCACGCTTGGTAAAGTGGAGTGTCAACAAAAAAGGGGAAAACCCTCAACCAGATGGATTGGCACAGCGGCTGCAATGATGGGCTCAAGTATAGCAAGAATTGTGACAATGGTGCAGGACCGGGCAGTGTTTTGTTCTGTTGTACACAGGGTTGCTATGAGTTTGAGCCAACCTGACAGCACATAACAACTATGATGTCAAAGCCTGTGTTTTTAACACCTGTAATAGCTCCTTTTGTTATATTAATTAATCTATCTAGTTCTGGAAGAAATATCTTTGCTATATGTGTTTCCTGAGGATAAGTAAATTGTCTTCCATAAGTGAGAAAATACATTTAATAATGTCACTAAGGAAGTGAAGTAGTAATTCTTACTCCTTACGTTGTTTGAATTGAGCTTTTATTTGTTAGTTGAGCAACATAGTTGATACTACACCATGATTTTATTGTTCGCTAATTTTAAATTTTAGGACATAAATTATAAATATCGATATTGAGCACTATAGACTGATATACACAATTATGTCTCGGGTTGCTATAAGGAGGGTTTAAGAATGCCTCAAAAATACATCCACACAATAGTAAAATATATTTTTTTAAAAAAAACAAGTTAGAGTTGGGGGAATCTTAGAACAAAGCTGGTGAGGGATAAGATCCTGCATAAGTTTAAAATTTTGTTTCATATCTGCTTTTGACTTTTCTGTCATCTAAAATAAGGGGAACTTGAAAAGTTACATAATTTTCATTGTCCATGAAGAAAACATTGTTCAGGTGAAAACATTATTTTCTTCATGTTTAGTTCTAGAAGAAGTTTCTTATATGACTTAAAATAACATTTATTGAATGATGGAATAGAAAATAATCTCAGCAACATTTCTGTTCTTAGCAAACTATTCTCTGAAGATGCATTTTTGGGTTTCATATATAAGTTGTGTTTTTGTTTGTTTTTGAAAAGCTTGCTCATGAAAGCTGAGTGTGTGATGTCAGTTGTTTTTTAGTCAAAGTGCTTATGTTGAGATGGGAAAGAGTGGGGAGGGGAAAGAAAGTATATTCCAAGAATGTAACATTAAAAAATAACATTGTGTCTTTCTTTTATTATAAACAGAACACATTCTCATGGTAGAAAATTTGGAAAATGCAAGAGTTTAAAATGAAGAAAATAAAAGTCACCAGTAATTCAACTACCTGGGAGAATACTGCTGTATTAACATTATAGATGACTTAAACTGTGGATAAACCCAGGCTATTTAGACTAGAGGAATGGATAGATTTGACACAGTCTTCCATCAATACCACTGGCCTCAACTGTTTCTGACAAGAAATGGACTGCAAATGTTTTGTTTTTTAGGTTGTTGCCTTTGGTTAGTGCATAATTGTAGACATTCTGTGCTGATTGAAGGTGAATTTATATGCTATCACTATTTGATGAGTATGTTGTCAACTTGGTTAGTCTCCTGTTAAAATTGAGGTGGCTATCTGAAACTGTGAGGCAAATCAGAGAGTTCTGTGCCGAGTGTTGAATGCTTGGCATACAAGGAGGATCCCGCTAAAATACTGTAAAGGAGTAGCCTGGTGAAGATAAAGGTCAAGGGCAGGGTTACCCCTTCTTCCTGATGATTCAACACCATCTAAGACTAGAGTCAGGTCAGGAACATTTCATTGTATCCTTGATCAATAATCTAAGAGGTCCAAATAGTCAATAAATACTTGTCCTGACAGGATGTGTGAATTAAAAACTATGAGTTTTTCTCTCACACCTATCAATCAGATTGGCATACATTAAAAAGCCCCATAAAACCAGATATTTTAAGGATGTTGATCAAAGGAAGCTTACATACTTGGCTAGACAAAGGGTAGATTGGAACAGCCACTCTGGAGAGCAATTTAGCTAGGTAATGATGTTCATACTCTACAGCCCACTTCTAGGCTCACACCCTCCAAACGTTCTGATGTGTATCCAAGAAATAAAATACAAACCTTCACTGTAGTATTGTTTTTAAGAGTAAAGAAATGAAAACAACTTAAATGTTCATCAGTAGTGGAGTGAAAAAAAATAAATTACCAGATATCTAGACAATGGAATCTGTAGTTAAAATAGATGCAATGTTGAGTGAAAACAGAAGTTGTGGAATATGTACAGTATGATGCTCGCTATATGTTTAAGAACATGCAAAGTATGCATGTTTAGTACAAAGAATATTCTAAAAATATTTTTTTCATGCATGGGCATTTAAAATATCAGGGAAGAGGCTGTCTCTGGGAGGAAGAGGAGAAAGAAGGGATTGGAAATTAGGAGTAGGGGTTGGTATACCGTGGATGTCAACCATAAAACACTTCTTTTGAAAAAAGATCTGAAGTAAATATAAAATGTTAAGATCTTGCTAAGTTGGCATCCAGGTGGTACATAGGTGTTCATTGTGCTATTATTCTCTGTACTTTTATATATATTTGAAATATTTGATAAAAAGGAAAAAAAAAAAGCATAATTAAAAATGCACATGATGAAAAAACAGATGTGGGTTTGTTTTTTGTAGTAAGAAATAGTTTTTGGATGGCTCCAGTTTAGTCATTAAAGAGCAGAAGTCAACTGCTGAAAGAGAAGGGAGTTAAAAGTTTGAGAACAGATGTTGTTGTTATGTGCCTTGAGTCAGCCCTGACTCATAGCGACCCCTCCTTGGGTTTCGGAGGGGGTATCACTACAGAAGTAGATTGCCCAACCTTCCTTTCTAGGAGTGGCTGGTGGGTTTGAACCGCCAGCCTTCTGGTTAGCAGTCAAGTGCCTTAGGCACTACGCTACCAGAGCTCCTTGAGAACAGATAATATTTGAAATTGTTATTTTAGAAAGAGAATGATTTGACCTAGGAAGATTGCTTGGCAATGTTGAAGGCCCCCTTGCTATGTTTTATTGTTAGTGATACTAGTATGCTCTGCTGCTTTCCTCCAGCAATACCTGGCTCCTTAGATACAGGAGTGGAGAAAGCAGGAAGCAGAGTTGATTCAGGCATGAGGTTTTGCCATTAAAAAAAAAAAAAAAATGGAAAATGAATGAGTTGGACACCCTGAAGAGATAATAGGGCTGGACTGCTTGAATTTTGTGATTTTGAAGTTGGAACAGTTTGGGGTGGGGATAAGTTCCAGATTGAGAGAGAAGATCATTGAAGATAAGCGAGGAAACCTACTAGATGTTGGATAGTTACTACTTGAAAGTTACAAAGTACTTTCTACCCCATTCTCACCTGTTCGCTAAAAAATACTAGCAGGTGCTTTCCTAACTTTGCAGAGATGCGCAAATGGTGGGAGCGAGCTGATAGCCTTGCGCATAGATACGCAGGCTAATGTAAACATGCGCAGATTTAGGCAGAGGTTTGCACACATAGCCTTAGGCACAGACATGCGCAGACAAATGAAAACACACGCATTGCAGAGATCCAAAGACATGCGCAGATATACATAGGTAGACGTCATGGGCACAGTTACGCAGAGATAGACACACGTCATAGGTGATGGCATGCGCAAACATGTTGCCATAGGTACAGGCATGCGCAGATAATCAGGCGAACATCATAGGTACAGGCATGCGCAGACATGCGTACGCATTGTAGATTTACGCATGCGCAGACATGTAAACATACGCATTGTAGATAGTACACACTCGCGCGGTCGAATGTAGACAACCGCAGAGATGCAGACATGCGCAGATCAATGTAGACGGCTGCAGAGATGCAGACATGCGTAGATCAATGTAGGCATCTGCAGAGGTGCAGACATGCGTAGACCAGTGTAGACATCCGCAGAGATACGCAGACTAGCACAGAGGAGCGTATGTACCGAATGGGAACAATTCCAGTTCTTGAGTTGTCTTGCAGAGATGCAGAAATGCTGCAAGAAAATATGAAAGTTGTGCATAGATCAGCGTAGATATATGCAAGAAATACTCCAGGAAGATTCAGCGTCGTTATTCCCAGGTAGTTGTGATTGTGATTCTGGATGACTGCCGCCTTCGTTTTACCTGCCTGTATTTTCCAAAATTTTTTATAATGGGCATACATTGTATGGACTTTTAAAATTTAATTTATATTTGAACAAGATAATGTACCTGCACAATTTAAAAAGTACTAACAGGCTGGAAGGTATAATGCACTCAAAACGAAAGAAAGAAAATGTTCAAATTTTTCTTACTTTTCTTTTAGAAGCGCGCTTGGTGATGGAAAGAGAGCCACTATTCTGAAGAGCACTTGGCCAAAGGTAGGTGTCTTTTACATACAATAGAGAGCAGATAGTACCATACAACTTTGTGAAAAATTATTTACCAGATGTATATTTGTATATAAAGAAGCTGGGAAAAAATCATGGAAAGCTCAAGAATATGAAAGAGTAATGCTCAGTTCCATGATTAGAAAGCGTACTCCTAGCCCGGACAGTAAGAGGCTGGGAGGATGGGTAAGCCATAGGGATTTTTAGGATTTGGAGAATATTTTAGCAGTTGGGATGTTGGTATCTGCACATTTTGAATGGGCTAAAGACCTAAATGTGAAAAAATGAAACTTTAGAGCTTAACTACAGGAAACCTTCTTTATAACCTTGAGGTAGGGAAGAATTTCTTAAATAACACAATGTAGAAATTGGCAATGAAAAAAAAAGCACTAGTCAATTTTATTATATCAAATGTAAATATTTATTCTCTGTCTAGAGTACTTTTCCCTCAGAGCACTAGCTAGCTCCCGTGTTTCCTTTTTTTCTTTACATAAAGTTCCCTTCTTGATGAAGCCTTCACTGGTCATATTATTAAAATGTAAAATCTGCCCTTTTCCGGGTTATTTCCTATTTTGTTTCCCTGCAAATTCCCCCCCTAGGAGTTAACCATTTTTTGATATCGTAATGAGTGGAATCAATTCCATGGCAGTGGGTTTGGTTTGGAATGTATGTTGTTTACATTATTTTGTTTATTATCTGTTCTACCAATACCTCAAGAAGAGATTTTATTATTGTCATTATTATTATTTTTATTGTGATTTGGGTGAAAATTTACAGAGCAAATTCACTTTCCATACAGCAGTTCACATATACTGTCTCATGACATAGACCACAATTTACCACAGTGCAACAGCTCCCCCCTACTTCGTCCCCACAGTTACCTCTTCCCTGTGTCCTTCCCTCCATGCACTCCTGCCCCCTGAACTGTCTCCCTGTGCATAAGCAGCCATCCTGTTCAAGGAGAGACTTTTTTGATCTGCTTGATTCACTCTTGATTATTGGCTGCGTAACAAACTGCTTGTGACGTAGAAGACACTCTTGCGTAAATATTTGTTGAATTACTGAATGAGTGAACTAACTATTAGATTGCAATTAAAATGAGTCCGTAGCTTATCAACGTGAATAACTATAAAAAATGTTATATGAAAAAAGCGGTAATACATGAAATTGGCTGGGAGAATACCTGACAAATTCGTGATTATGTTTGCTTGTGGGTGACGAGGATAGAAAGGAGACTGAAGAAGGTACAAAGGAGATTTCAACTATATCTTTATTATTTCTTTCATTAAAAGAGAGTCTAAAGCAAATATCACAAAATGTTAACAACTAAAACTGGGTTCTGAGTATTAGGTGTTTGTTATATTTGTGTCTGTGTTTTCATTAATCATAAGAATGTCCACCTTTTTCTAAAATTAGGGCTTTAAATAAGACACAGAAAGATATTCTTGGTTTTACATAATTGGTTTTTAAAACCAGGATGGGTAGAATCAAAGAATCAAATCTGGTCCTTCAGTTCCTTTACTGCTCTGCAGATGGACTGCATCAGATCCATTGTAGGAGTTAATTTTGTTTTCTTTACTGTTTTAAAAAACTTTTCCTTTTTATTCTAAATAGCACAACATAAAAAACACAACACTGAAAGGCGTAAATTAAAAGCAAAGAAATATCTGCCAGGGGCTTTGTTTTAAAAAAGCTAAGAGTTCTTTGCCTTTTTCTTAGAGGTTGTGATTCAGGCGGCCTAGGAGTATATCTAGGAGTCTGGGAATTGTAAAATTCCCTAGGCAGACTTTCTGGAATAATTTTTTAAATGCCTTATTTTACAGATGAAGAAATGGAGTCCCAGAGAGGTTAACTGACTTTTGCAAGGTGTTCATTGCAATTAAAATGCAAAACTGAACTGAGAATCTAGCACTAGATGAAGTTTCTATTTGAGGGTGGCCAGCCTGTTGCTGTTTCCATTACAAATCATTCTTATGCTTAAAACAGAATTTTTGCTCATCACTGAACCTGGCATTTGGCAGGTGCTCTGTAAATATTTGTAGGATGAATGAATGCTAGACTTCTGACTGAAACCCAGACTGTGATACTTGCTTTCTGGAGATACCTGCTGCTATTTCAATGGATAACGTAGTCTCAATTACACTGAGGGCTTTATGTAGAATATTTATGCTCCAGCTTAGTTTCTCAATCACAAAATACTTACTCATTTATATTTTTTATTGGGATGTTCATAACGTGGCATATGATATAAAAACATTCGTGTAGGTAAAAACGACACATCCATTAGTAATGATGCAGAAGAGTTTGGTAACTATACAATTGGGCCATTTTTCCTTTAGTTTTACCAGAAAAGCATGCTCATTGAAAGGTAGTTTAAACTTCAGAAGCATACTAAGTAGATTGTGCCAGGTGCATTATTTACATTTATAAGAAGTGTTCTACTTTGGAATTAATTATGGATCTGAATTGATGGATTCATTCCTCTAGGATATAAGGTTGTGTAAAAAGACACTCTATGGATGTCCATGTGAGGATCGGCCATTTGTTCTTCTTTCCAGATAGACAAGGCTATCCTGTACATGCTTTTAGGTGTTAGAGAGGGTGAGTCTTTGTGAGAATTTTTATAGTTTAGTCAACAAACTTCTGTGTGCGTAGCCTTTTGGTGTGTATTATATATGAAATAATAGGTTCACAAATGTCCCTAGTTTCTTAGTGTTGCTGAAACAGATATACTGCAGGTGAGTGGCTTTAATGCACAGAAATTTATTTTCTTACAGTTTAGGAAGCTGGAAGTGTGAACTAAGAGCACTGGCTTTAGGGTCAGGCTCTCTGTAGTCTGAGGAAAATCCTTGTCTCTGATTCTGTGGTGGTCTGGGCATTGCTCAGTTCCTTGATGCTCTCTTCATTTAGCATTCGGTTTTCTCCTTTTGTGTTTACTTGTCCTTGTCTATCCTGCTCTGGACATCACACTGGAGTGATTAGGGTTAAGGCACATGCTACACTCATAGGGCCTCATTTACATAACAAAGAAATCCTTATTCCCAAATGGGATTACATTCACAGGTATAAGGATGAGGATTCCAGCACATATTTTGGGAAAGGAATGTGGGGAACACAGTTAAATCCTACAAGTTATCTGCTTCCAAATTACAGTGGTGGGACAGGTACAAGGTTGACATCCTCATCCCAAATGGGAGAAATCAAGGGTACCAAGCAAGTCTCCATTTCAGCACAGGAAAGTTAATAGCTCTCAAGGCTTGAAAATAAGGCTCTGTTCTCAGGGACCATCTAGGCACTGGCCCTGCCCTCTGGATTTTGGGTAGAGGCCCTCAGCCCTCAGCATCAGCCCCATCTTCCAGGCCCACTGGGAAAACAACTCTGCTTCCTTGGTTTGGGTGGCCCCTTTCTCTGGTACATCTAAGTGATGAGCCAAGTTCCCTGCCTTGTGCAGCTCCATTCTCCTAGCCCGTGGGTGTGGCGTCTCCATCCTTCAGCTTTGGAGAAAGGTTCCATTCTCTTGGTGCACCTGAATGTGGCCCCGCCTTCCGGAACCCAGGTATTAGAGACTGAATTCTTTGAAACCTTGGGGACTGTGACTCCACCCTTTGAAACTGAGGACTTGGCAGCCCTGCCCCTCATGATCCTTTACAGCCCTGCTGATTTCCAGAATCACTCTTTTCATTTTATTTTATTATTTATTATTTTTAAATGCATTTTATTGAAATATAATTTGTGTGCAGTGAAATACACAAAACTAAAGTGACATGGGTTAATGCTTTTTTTTTTTTTTTTTTTTTTTGCAGTGTTCCCTCCCCTCCCCTCCCACCCCTGGCAACCAACAAAGAAAGTTTCCCTCCATATATAAACCTTTCCTTGACCCTCCACAACAACGAACTAATACTGTATTTGTCCTTCTGTGATTGACTTATTTCACTCAGCATAATGTCCTCCAAGTTCGTCCATATTGTGTGATGTTTTGCAGACTCTACATTTTTCTTTGTAGAGTGCTGCATAGCATTCCATTGTGTGTACGTACCATAGTTTGGTCATCCACTCTTCCGCTGATGGGCATGTAGGTTGTTTCCATCTTTTTGCTATTGTAAATAGTACTGCAATGAACATGAGCGTGCATGTATCTGTTCCTGTCCTGACTCTCACCTCGCTAGGATATATACCTAGTAATGGGATTGCTGGGTCAAATTGTATTTCCAATTTCAACTCTCTAAGGAATTGCCATATTCCTTTCCACAGTGGTTGCATCACTTCATGGTCACACAAGTGGTGTATGAGAGTCCCAATCTCTCCACATCCACACCAGCACTTGTTATTTTCTGTCTCATTGAACCTTGCCATCAGTGCTGGGGTGAGACGGTATATCTCATTGTTGTTTTGATTTATATCTCTCTGATGTCCAATGATTGTGAGCATCTCTTTATGTATTAGCTGACCATCTGAATATCCTCCTTGGTAGAGTGTCTATTCGTGTCTTCCGCCCATTTTTCAACTGGATTGTTAATTCCTTTGGTGTTGAGGCATTGGAGTTTTCCATCAATCTTAGAGAGAATTCCCTTGCCAGATATGTAATTATCCACAAATACGAATTTGTTGCTGTCATTTTTGTCATGTGCTTTTTCATTGTGTCAATTTCTTTGTTCCGTATAGTTTTCTATGCTGAGCTCGTTTTGTTTATGAATTATGTTATCACTTCCTTCATTGTTATTGTTTTAGTATTTGCTGAATATTTTTGCTGGTCCTCTTTTTTATTTTGATGTGAAGATTTATCATTTTTCTTTGAGGTTACCCTGTGATTTATAGTTTTCCCTACCACCTAGAAGTTCTGTAACTACACAGATTTTTTTCCCTCTTTCTGGTTTGTAGTTGTCCTCATTTGTTGGTTAGTATCTCTGGTTCCCTGTTTACAATCTTGTAAGCTTCTTTACTTTGGATACTTCCATAGCTGGATTGGTTTCTGGGTTATAACATCATGTGTGTTAATGGTCACTTGTTTTTGGCTGTTGTTGCTTCTCTGTCCAAAGGGCTCCCTTGAGCGTCTCTTGTAAGGTTGGTCTGGTTTTAACAAATTCCCTTAATTTTTGCTTATATGGAAATGTCCTAATTTCACCATCATATTTGCTAGTTGGAAATTCTTGGTTGAAAATTTTTCTCTTCCAGTGTTTTATATATACCATCCCACTGTCTTCTTGCCTGCATTGTTTCTGTTGAGAAATACGAGCTTAGTCTAATTGGTTGCCCTTGTAGGTAACTTTTCATTTTTTCCCATGCTGCTCTCATGACAGAATCACTCTTCATTTTAAAAAAGACTTTCACATCATAGTGGGGCTCTAAACTTAAATCCTTTCTTAGCTCTTAATTCCAATGGAAAGAGATCATCTCTCATTATCCACATAGTAAATCTGAGCAGTCCTCTGACTAATCCTAATTCATGTGCCCACCCATGGATTTATTCCTATGAGTGGGGCAAGGGTATCTTTCGATTGGCCAGTCTCCTGGGTCATATCTGTGTCCCTACTGGATCATCCAATGTCCAGATGGAGCTCTGTGGAGTTTTTAATTCCTGCTGCTGCTGTGAGGAGTAGGGGAATGCTGGTACCCAAAAAGAGGAGATACTGGGCAGACAAGCAATAAAGAATGTCCATATATATGGTAGAGGGTGTGTTGCTGTTGTTGTTATGTGCTGTCGAGTCGGACCCGACTCATGGCGACCCCTCCTTGGGTTTCCGAGGCAGTATCACTACGGAAGTAGATTGCCCCATCTTCCTTCCAAGGAGTGGCTGGTGGGTGAAATACTATCAAGGAAAAGCAAAACTTTACATTGTAATTAGGCTCAAGAAACTTTGAGATAACCTTTGAGTTAAGCTTTTTTTCAGAAAGCTTCAGCAAAGAAATCTGAATAAAGTCCTTTTTTAACTACCAAAAGTTATATTGGGTTTATAGAGTTTAGAGAAAAAGACTCAGTAAAATATAAGAAAGGTGAGTGCAGGGGAAGAAAGGGAAATAAGTAAAGACTTCTCTACAAATTTAACAGGTATGGTTTATGAACTATCATTATTTCCTTTGCTAGCTGTGTTTTATTTTTCTAGGCAGTTATCTAAACTTTGATATTGATATATGCCTAAGGAATAGAATTTTAAAAGCAAGAAATGGTCTAGTAGTGTATCTGAACAATCTCTATGTTCTTAAGCTTTGGGGATCAGGAAACATCGGCACTACCCTGTGAGGAAAATGTGATCTGCATTGGGATCTCTGACTTGGGCCTGAATAAATAGCATGGCTCTAGGACTCATAAGCTTGGGATGGTGCACTAGAGCAGGGTTCTGTACTACACTGAACCTGCGTAAGGAAAGAAAGGTCTATATGATTGTTTCTGGCTTCTTCTAGTAAAAAAGTTAGTCTTTCTTAAGATGATCACTTATTTCCGATTTCATATTTTCTGATCAAACAGTGTTTATGTTATTCTGATCTTCAGAGAATCAGAGTGTTCTTTGTGAAACAAAGTATGGTAAAGAGGAAAGAGCTGTAGACAGGAGTTGTAAGCTCAGGGTTCTTGGTTTGCCCGTACTTTGGTACTGTATTTCACTTGTAAATCCCTCTCCAGTGGAAATGCTGTGCCTAAAATGGGAGTTTGTTTTTTGAGGATTGGTTGCATTAGCACCAGGTTTGGTTATAATGGTTTTCCAGATTAAAAAGTTGGTGCTTGATGTAGAAAATTTCCTAAAATTTATAAATGTCACTTTGTTGTTATTGTTATGTGCCATCAACTCATAACAACCCCTCCTTGGGTTTCTGAGGCAGTATCACTACGGAAGTAGATTGCCCAACCTTCCCTCCAAGGAATGGCTGGTGGGTTTGAACCACCAGCCTTCTGGTTAGCAGTCCAGTGCCTTAGGCACTATGCTACCAGAGCTCCTATAAATGTCATTAGCCAGGAGTATGGTATTGTAGCAAAAGCAAATGAAAAAACAAAAACCCTGATCATTGGGACTAAGAGTAAATCAATGGTTTCCAAACCTTTTTCAAAACCAGGAACTACACTTAGACATAAAGTAATGGAAATCTGAGCTGGCTGAAGGAGAGGGAATGGGTGGGGACTCCAGCCAGGGATACCCTAATCTCTCCAGGTGGTGGGTGGATCCCCTTATGTTCTTCAGTAGTCATGGAAAGCTGACAGTCTGATGGTTCCTTCCCACTTTAAAAGTCTTTTGAATTCCTAAGGGTAAGAAATGATAGAGACTTTTATTGCCTTAAAGTATTTTGGAAAAAAATTATTTGTAATGAAAGACTTATAATTTATTTGACACAAAATAGTAGGTAGTCTTTGCTTTATTAGTAAAATATAATAAAGAATGAGTTCTTTCCTGGGGATTACCAAAATATAATGAGAAAAAATATGAATCACTCAAATTTGTTAAAAGTTATTTTCTTATTCATAACAGCATTTAGCTCATTATGTAAGTTTATTTCCCGAGAAGTATTAACACTTTTTAATCCCTGATTGGTACAAATGGTTAACTCGCTTACTGAAAAGTTGGAGGTTGGAGTGGAGGACGAGACACCTGGGAGGAAATACCTGGTGATCTGCTCCTGTAAAGATCACAGCCAAGTTTTTTAATTAACAGTTTTAGTTTTTTGTGTGATTTTTTTTTTTTCCCCATCGATCATGGCCTTATCTAACATTTTAAAGTATGTAATCAGTTTTCAAGCGAAATATTTTTTTCCTTAATCTGTTTTCTTTAAGCATATTTTTGAGAAAAAAAATAAATTTATCTTTTTGGAACAGGGTCATTATCGTTATTGTGATGCTCTTTCTTTGCTGGGGGAATATGACTGGGCTCTGAAAGCAAACATAAAAGCTCAAGAACTCTGTAAAAATGACCCTGAAGGATTGAAGGACCTAATTCAGCAGCATATAAAGTTCCAAAAACAAATAGACGGCCTACAAGGTATTTCACCTAAGATTCTTTTGGTAATAGTCAATTCCCTTTAAAACTTATAAAAGTGGGTTTTCTTGGATCAATGAAGGACCATAAAACCATTCTCAAATGATTTTTACTTACTTTGTTATGTTGTCCTAGTCAAGTCACTTCAGTTTTCCATTTCTATCTGTGTAGAAATTTCATTAGTATTATATTTTATTGGGAGCTCTTGTGGTGTAGTGCCTAAGGCATTTGACTGCTAACCAAAAGGGTGGCAGTTCAAACACACCTAGTCAAGTCTCTTCAGTTTTCCATTTCCATTTGTTTAGAAATTTTATTAGTATTGTATTTTATTAGCTAGTAATAAAATGATTTGTATTCTTTATTTGAAACAGGTAACAAATGTTATTCTGTAGAAAAACATACCTTTCAGAAATCTTAAATCAAGTAAAAGCTTTTAGCTTTTTGCAACAAAATTATTTTTAAAAATTTCCATCCTTATAAAGTAAACACGCACACACACGAGTTCCTGGCTGGCTAAACACTTGACTATTAACTGAAAGGTTAGTGGTTCTAATCTACTTATAGGTGCTATGGAAGAAAAGGCCTGGCAGTCTACTTTTGAAAGGTTATGGCCTGTGGAAGGCAGCTTTACTCTGAAATACATGTAGTCACATGAATTGGAATTAACTAAATGGTGACTGGTAACTGTTTTTTGGGTTTTTTTTTTTTAATATATATATATAACTTCTGTAAATGTATGTAATTGGATGTGTAAGTTAAGGATTAAAGATTTTTCATCCACTTTTATTTTCTCTCAAGTCATTTTGCTTTTTCCAGTACCTAGAGTATCCTTATTGTCAGTGTATGCATCTTTCCTGATTTTCCTTCTTCAGTTTGAGTATTTAGTATCTTTTGGAGCTGAGCTGAGCTGAGTGATTTTATCTCATTAGGAGATGAGAAAACAAAACATCCCAAGATTGTGAGCTTCTTGAAGACAGGTATCATCTCTGATTCAAATTCATAATTTGCTCTCATCTAGTCAATAGTCACACATAAAGTAAGATGTCAAACAAATCTTGTGTAACATTTTGTTGACAGCATCCTAAAACTGAAAACATCTAGAAATACAAGATTGCTTAGGTTTATTGTTCATTTCTCAGAATTTGATGTTTTTACTGTCAGCTTAAAAGAAATCTGAAAATCTTTTGAAGTATACTTTGCCAATCCATTGATTACTATGATTGATTTTTATAGGTCGAACACGAGGTAGGAGTCAGTTTAAGAGAGCCTATTACAATAACAGGTGAGTTAATATCAGATCGGTAGTTGTTACTTGGAATGGCTGTGCCCCCTGAATTTAAGAACAATTTGTGTTTGACTCTTGTGTAGCTAACAACAGCCACCTTAAAGTTAGGAGGGAAGAGGGGTGATTTTTTAAGAATTCACTTTTAAAATCAGGTGACTATGAATTGTCAGATTTACTTTATAAAATGTTTTATTGAATTGTTTACTTTCTCCCCTAACTTAGGTAGTTAAACTTGTGGGATATGTATATGTTAGGTATCAGTAGCCCAAGTTTGTAGGGAAAATGGGAATGAAATATTCATTGACTGGATCCAGTTTTGGCCATGAGAGTCCTGGCAGCCCAGGGCTTTATATTTTCACCTCTGACCTGGAATCATTTGCCTCCAGCCTCCCACCATCTTTTCAAAGATTATGATACTTCCTTTTTGAAAAAGCCAACAGATGGACCTGAGTATGCTCACAAGGAAATAAATAATAGCCAGGGTTCTACATTTGCATATTCGGCAATGAAAATAGATTAAGCTTTTCTGCCACCATTCTTATTAGATATTTAGGATATTGAAACTATTCACTTTTAAATGAGAAGATTTAATTATTTTACTATTAGAACACAGAACACTTTTCTTGACTTGCTCTGGATCTATTTTGAGCATTTGATAATGACTTTTAAACAGTGTTTATATATGAAACCCAGTCTCAGAGATATTCTTTTTAAAGCAACAGTATCTTACTTTCAAGAAAAAAAAAAAAAGGCTCTATGTTGCTGCAGCCTGCTTGTTTGAAGGGTCACTTTTTATACATGTGCATTAATCGATGGTATTAGAATGGTTATTCCTTTCTCCTCCTCTAGGGACTATATACCTTTATCAGTACCTTCATTTAGTACTTCACTTAACTTTGTGGATACTGAAAAAGATTCTACAAACACTGCACACAAAATGACAAGTTGTAGAAGGAAGAAAAGGGTAAGCTCAGTTAAAAATTAAATTATTTCACATATAGGTATTACCATATTTTTACAGTACTATTTTAGTGATAACGGAAACCAAATATTTCGGTAATACAAACCCTTTTTAATTACTGATATCAAGAGAGTAATTCTCTCTGTCTTTTAAATAAATAATCCAGCTACCTCTTATAACCACAAAGATAATATTCAGAGTTACAGAATTTCTTTGGAAGCCACATTTTGATATTTTCAAAATAGTTTTTCTAAACATTTTTCTACCGTAAGGATTATCCTCTTTTGTGTGTCCTCCTTTTGCATGTCTTGCAGCCAGACAGTCACCAGAATGAGTGACAGAGAGGTCTGGTTGCCAAGTGCCCCCTAGCCCTGACAATGCTGTGGATTTTTCTTTTCCTCCCTTTTTCCTTTTTTGTAATGACTGGGCTGCCTGGCAGTGTACCAGCTCATCCACCCAACCTGTGCTGTGTTGGCCCTTGCAGAAAGCCAAGCTGTTTCTGCATCTCTGGAACCCTCAGCAGCAGTGATTCAGTGTGTGCTCAGCAGAGGCTTTGGTCTACTGTGTTCTTCAGAGCACCTAACTACCTATAGCCTGGCTCTGTGAGAATTTCCCAGATGATCTGTGTCTGGGTTTTCCTCTGAGATGTAGGATACTTGAAGCTTAACAGTTACCACTAGTGTCCTCATTTATATTTCTCTCTAGCATTTGATGGGAAAAATGAAAATGATGTTTAGGGTTGACTGGATGGTGGGCATTGAAGGGAACATTTGTCATCACCCACATAGTCCTTTTATTAGTAATTTTGAACATCTCAAAGCAGCTGTACTCAGAGGAGTATAGGGAAAATTTGATAGTATTCATACAGTACAAAGACCTAATGAAAAACCACCATGTCAGACATCATGCTAGAGATTGGAAATAGAATTGGTAATTCAGGAGCTTCTCATAGTTTACAGTCACTTATCATCATCTATCATCTTGATTGTTTATTCATTTAGGATTAAGCAGTTTTTTTAGAGGCTTGTATAAATTCTTTTTTTTTTTTTTTAAATCTCTAGTTTTACTATCATAGGCAGCAGGCAAATGGGGCTTTGAAGGGAAATGATCTTGACTACGACGATGAGGAGTTTTATGAATATCAACTACCATTGAGTAAGTTTTGGTTTCTTAGGTAGATTGTTTGCTAAGTTAATGTAGTGTTCTTTAAACTTATGTGCCCTAAAATTTGCATAAGCCTTATTTGTATTTGCCAGTACCCTCATTTTACCTATGGTGCTTCTGTGTTACAAAAACATTTAATACTTATTTGAAATCCTTGTTCAGTCTTTTCCTATTATTTAATTTTAAAGATTCAAATAAAAAGAATTCAGACACCAAAAATACATGCTCTTCTTGGCCTGTGCCCAAATTTCACATAGGAGAGTGTTTCTCAAACTTTTGTTCATTATTGGCCTTCCCAAGACGACTTTTTGAAAATTTTAATACTAGTAATATACTGTTTAGGAGTCTCTGAGTGGCTCAAACCGTTCAGCGCTGGACTATTAGCTGAGAGGTTGGTGGTTCAAAACCCACCCAGGGACACCTTGGAAGGCAAACCTGGTGATCTGCTTCCAGGACATCACAACTTCAAAAAACCCTGTGAAGGAGTTCCACTGTGACACATGTGGAGTCCCCATGAGTTGGAAACAACATGATGGCAACTAACAACAGCATAGTTTTTATCTGTTTACGTATTACATGTATATGTGCTTTATTTATAAAAAGAAGATGTTTTCACCTCCCAAGAACCATTTTTCACCCTCTAGGCATGATCTTACCCTCATTGAAAATACACGCTTCAGGGAAATTTTAGTTTATCTTAAATATTACTTGTTTACTTACATAGCATAGAAACTATGCTTATCTCATTTATGCATCGACTAAATACACGGCAAATACACAGCAGGACCTATATTAGGTCAATACTTGACCTAATACTGGTCAAGTATTGCTTACTTGACGTCATTAGGAGATGAAGGACTCTGAGAAATGAGTGTTTATTAAGCTTTTCATTTATGGTCTGAATTTTCCCTTCTGCTGCCAGATTTTCATGGGGATCTTTCTAAAATGGAGTAAGTTACTTCCCTGCCTTTTGAAACAGAGTGTAAAAGATACAGATTTTCTTGCTGACTCAAGATGGTGGTGGTTATTGTGCACAGAAGTTATTTATAGCAAGCTTTCCTGTAGCATTCCTTGGAAGATTATTGAGGAAAGATTTATTGACCTTTTAGTTAGTGACCCTGTTGCTCTCTCTTCCTTTCTCGTGTTGGTTGGTTGGTTGGTCTCTTCTCAGTGTTTTTGCTTCTAGCAGCCATTATTTTCAGCTGCACCTGCAGTGCTATCGTCTTTCAGGCTCTAGTTCTGCATATTCAACTATTTATGACTGGGCCTTCCGTTTGGTTAGCACAGTAGTGAAATTATAGAGAAGGTGAAGCCTAGGAAATTGTCTTACCTGATGTAACTCAAACAGCCATGGACATCTTTGAGGATAAAACTTTTCTTTGGAAAGCAGTTTTTAATTTATCATTATTTTGTTACGCTATTATTATCAGATAGCAAAAGTGCTAAGAAAAAATCTAGATACTGCATGCTTTTCAACATCCACATTCGGGTGTGAAGAAATTATGGTTCCAAGATTAGGGTTAAGTAGTTATGGCCAAAGTCAGAAAGCAGAAATCAAACTAGCACTCTTCTGGCTTTCCAGAAGCCTCTGTAGATTCCTCAGGCCTCCCAACCCGGCTCAGATTTTAGTCCCTCCATAGTATATAGGCTCTGACTTATTTCTTCTTTTTTCTTCCCATACTTCCACCAAATGTACTCTCTCTGTACAGTCTCATACACAGCCTTGACAAGCATTTGAGTCTTCTGCCCAAAAATAGGCTTACCACTACTGCCAGGGGCCTAAATGTGAGCACACACGCAGGATCTGAACCGAAGGGGGGCCTGTAAACTCTCATTCCAACCTCCTTGCCACCCTTTTCAACATTCCACAGTTATTAAACTCTCCAAATCACACAGGTTTATTTAGTGTTTCTTAAAATGATCTTCATTCACTCTTGGGTTCTGACCATTCTAACCAAATCCCACTTGTTCCTCAAAATCAAATGCAAATTTTCCATCTCTACCAAGGCCTTTCCCAAACTCTTCAGTTTAACTGTTTTCTCCTTTTATGAGTTGTGAGAGCAGTTGCTGATTATGGAATTCACAGGTCAGTAACAACACAGTATCTTCTTTCTTTTTCATAGTTATTGTTGTTTAATTACTGAAGCATCTGTCTTTTCTCCCATCTGGATTGTAAACTGAGAAAAGGAGCTTTGGCTTGTATCTCTCTGCATCTACTCCAAGTATACATTTCTTATCATAATTATAATTTATCTTTGTAATAATTTCATGGCATACATAGAAGAATCAATAGTAGGTTCTTTATTGGCTTATCCATTTGTGGTTACACTCACACACAATATTGCTTTCTTTACTTTTCTTATTCTTATTTTTCACTGTTTTACTCTCAGGTTTGTGGTTTTCCTGTACAGATTTCAGGAACAAATACTTTTGTATTCACAGGTAAGCCTCCAAGACATAAAGGAAGACATAGATCCAGAAACAATACAGTGGAGGCAAGGTATGTTTTTTCTCTAAGTATTTCTCCCCCCACCCCGCCATGTACTATTTCAAGAAAATGAAAATCTCTTTTTCAAGTATTAGCCACCTTCACGTTTGTGTCTTATAATGAGCACTAAAATCTGTTTCAAATAGCAAAGGCCAGTATCTTTTTTTTTGGCTAAAGGATTCTAAATCCAAGATATTAAACTGAATTCTCAAGGTCATATAATATGAAATTTATCAGTATTAATTCTTTTATTCCAAAATACATGCTTGTATGAGGAAGATGTATTTGGAGAGGTATGAAGTGAAAATTAAGCCTCATTCTCATGCTCACTTTATTTCACTTCTACTTTGATCCATCTTCTAAGGCGCTCTGGTGGCGTAGTGCCTAAGGCATTTGACTGTTAACCAGAAGATTGTCAGTACAAAACCACCAGCCACTCTGCGGGAGAAAGATGGGGCAATCTAGTTCCGTAAAGATTTACCACCTCAGAAACCCAAAGGGGGTTGCTTTGAGTCGGAATCAACTCGATGGCACTGAGTTTGGTTTGGTTTGGTTTTCAGTTAATCTTCTAGTGGCCTCTAGGAACTCACTGTTAATAATTTCTTAGCCATCTGGAAACTTACTTTCCATACACAAGCATGACTATGTGTCTAGTCAGTGGCTGTTGGGTATTTTTTTGTCAAAGGAAAATACTAATGAATGTAACCACTTATAAAACTAGTTCAACCAAACATCCTCTCCCTCAAATTAATAGGAACTATTGCTACCTCTCTATGATTAATCATCCACTGCCTACAGAGAGATTCAAGTGGATTGCAGAGTGAATTTGTGAATCTTAAAACAGAGATACAGTTTCATGAAATTGAGGAAAGTGGTGTTGGAGAAGTTGCAAAGCCATGTTTACCACAGTTATATCACTTGCCAGTTTTCTTTTCATTTGTTAAGGCTAATTACATGATGGGGGGGGGGTGCTTCAAGGAGAATGATTTGAATATCAATGCATTAGAGCCCTAAGGAAATTTGGTAAGGTAAGGAGATTAGTGAAGGAGCTCTGGTGGTGTAGTGGTTAAAGCATTAGGTTGCTAAATAAAAGGTTGTCTGGTTGAACCCACCAGCCGCTCTGTGGGAGAGCTGATGAGGCAGTCTGCTTCTTTGAAGATTTACAGCCTTGGAAACCTGATAGGGCAGTTCTACTCTATTGTAAATGGCTGCTATGACTCAATAGCAGTAAGTTTAGGTTTCAGGAAATTAGTAAAGCCCTAATTATTTCCAAGCAGGTCTGGTGGCATAGTGCATAAGGCACTTGACTGCTAACCAGAAGGCTGGCGGTTCAAACCCACCAACCACTCCTCAGAAAGAAGGTTGGACAATCTACTTCCATAGTGATACCTCCTTGGAAACCCAAGGAGGGGTAGCTCTGAGTCAGATCCAACTCAATAGCAATGAGTTTTTTTTTTTTTTTTAATTATTTCCAAAAAGGATATTTTTTTTGGTGCTACTACAAAAAATTAATACAGAATGAAGGTATAGTATATTAATTATTCTGTTACTTGGTAGAAACATCCTGAATCTTTCTTCTTCCACCCCAAACCCTGCCAGAGAAACCAAAACCCAGTGCAAGAGCAATCTTTGAATATGTGGTTTTAATTTTAACTTGTTTAATTAAAGATAAGTCTTTTTTCCTAAATTTTAAGTTTTCAAAATAAAGCCTCCTTATTTGTTAATGTCTGTCTCATTGGAATTTCACAGTTAAACCAGGTAGCCACATAAAGCATTTAGAGCCCTGGGACATAGTAAATGCCTAGTACATTTAACTATCATTGCTACTCTCATTTTCACTGTTAGAACCATTCTGGCTTTAATATCTTACGCAATGTCTCGGATATCTTCTCATATCAGATCATAGAGATATACTTCCTTCATTTTCATGGCTGCAGGATGTTGCATAGTATAGATGTGTCATTTTTCTTACCAATCCTCCATTGTATATAGAGGCTCTTCATTCCTCTCTTCCTCCCTTCCCTTTCTTTCCTTACTTCCTAATAATTAAAATAATACTTCAGCAAACATCTTGCACATGTACCTTTGTGCACTTGTTGCTATATATTTGAAGAAGAAATTTCCAGAGAGAATTGCTGTGTCAAGAGGATGTGTAGTTTTAACTTTATGTGTTGCCAAGTGGTCTTCCCAGAAGGCTGACACTGCTCGCACTCCCACTATGCTATGAGCGGGCCTGAGTTTTCCTTATCTTCTCCATTACCGGAGTCAGATATTCTGACTTTTGCCAGTGATAGGTTAAATGGTTATATCTTACTACTAAGTTTTCCTGTGAGATTGAGCTTCTTTTCTAGATTTATTAGATACATTTCTTTTTTTCCTTTTTAAGACACATGTCTTGTTTCAGGATTGTGCTGTTATTGATGGCTATGTTGTTGTTGTTGTTATGTGCCGTCGAGTCGGCCCCGACTCATAGCGACCCCTCCTTGGGTTTCCGAGGCAGTATCACTACGGAAGTAGGATTGCCCAACCTTCCTTCCGAGGAGTGGCTGCTGGGTTTGAACCGCCAGCTATAGACTTGTCATAACTTTTGAAGATTAGCATAAGGCCCTCCTGATTTTTCTTTTTTCCCATGTCATCTTTGGAATCTCCTTCTCTTGCCGGCTACCAGATTTCACAGACTTACTAATTTAGAGTATTTCAGAGCTGGTATAACTCTCCATTTACTCAGTATTTAAAATGACCTTCAGTGAATATTTTTGGTTTGTTTATATAAGACTATTTGTTTTAAAATGAACTGAAAATGAACACTTTTCTTTTTCAGTTCTAGTTCACAAGTGACCTTGCAGAAACAGTTTTCTAAATCTACCAGAGCTGCACAGCAGGTAATGGAAAAGGCTTTTTCCAATGGAAAAGGCAAACTCTTTGAACAAAACTTTTTCACATGAATTAATGTCTAATCATAGACATCTCTAAGATTTATTTTTTATGATTTCAGTTATAGACATATTTAATATGATTGCTAAAAAACCAAACGATCACTAATTTAAATATTTACTTGATGATTGTTTTAGACAGAGGTTTAGCTAATGGTTAATACTGCAAAATTGTTTGATTTTCAAGGATTTAAAACTAATATTGAATTTTAAATTTAATATTTTTAACATTTTTTAATTATTTAAACATTTTCAATTTGGTCTCATATCTAAAATCATTAAAGTGCAAGTGTTTTATTCTAAAAGATTTAACGTTAATCAGACAATTTTGTATATAATGTTCTTTCTGTGATATTTAGTAAGTGATGAAAAGTATACATTAACATGCAATAGAGAATACTTGTTTGAAAATATATGGGTCATTTTAAAATTTAGTTTTTTGTGGTGTGTTTTTGGTTTGTTTAACATATTTCACGAAGGATTGTTGGAATGAAGCATGTTTCAAGCAGTTTACTTAACCGCATTTACATTCATTTGCATAAAAGCAGAGGAACTCTTCTGGTGCAACGGTTAAGCACTCAGCTGTTAGCCAAAAGGTTGATGGTTCAAACCCACCCAGTGGCTCCACAGAAGAATTATCTGGTGATCTGCTCAGATAAAAATTCTGGCCTAGAAAACTCTTTGGGGTCGCTGTACTGTCACATGGGGTCGCTATGAGTTCGAATCAGCTTGACACCTAACAACAACAACAACCTGTTGGAGATTTTTTAATTATGTTTTATTACATTTATTATATTGACTCTAAAACCCATGATGGACTTAAACTGAAAAGACAGTCTGTGAAAAATTATTTAAGTGAAAATGATGGTTATTTTTGCAACTTCATTTGTTCCTTGATCTGAGTGACCTGATGACTCTTAGGAGAGACCAGTTGTTCAGTGGACAAAATCCAGTCTGCTCTTGCGGAACTTTTGAGTACAGATCACTTAGGATGTGCTATATTGAGGGAACTGATTTCTAATGGGAATAAGGGTATGTGGTCTGCTTTCTAGAATATAAAAGTTAAAATTAAATTAGGTGTGGGGATAGCATATCATTCTCTATAAATTTAAACCCATATCTTAACAACATAAACATGGCTGTAATTGAGCTTTTTAAATAATGTAACAAATACCAAATTTTATGAGAGTTGCCCTTTCCATGCATATTCTGGAAAAACTTGTAGATTTTGATTCATGAATGGAAACCAGCAGGAAGCTAGTGTGGCCATTGTACTTTGTGCACTGGCATCTCCTTTTGGATCTTTATTGTTAGAGACAGTGAGCAAGTCACCTGCCACACTCATTTTCTGCCCCATTGAATGGTGTACAAGCATATGTCAAGGAGTTTGGACATCTAGGCTTAAATTCTGGTCTTGCGTCTTATCTTTATGGAATTTTTGTGACTTAAAGTTATTGGCATGTAGCTGAAATCTGAATTCAAGTTAGAATATATGTGTACATTATGAATCAAGTTACAATTAAGTCACTTTAAGGGTACGTTGCAGCAATTTTCTTTTTGTTTTATAACTGTGTTCCTCCTTTAGTTTTAACCTGCTGACATCGCTTCAGAGTTGTTTTTTTTAAAAATCAATTAAAATTTATGAATTACACGTTAGGTAGGAGTAAAGATAAAGATTGAAACAGCCCTTCCTTGATTAGAATTAAGGTTCATGCCAGGATATAATGGCAGGTATTAAAACCTGATAGCGATCGGTAGGGAGCTCTGGTAGCATAGTGGCTAAGACACTTGCCTGCTAACCAGACGGCTGGTGGTTCAAACCGACCAGCCACTCCTTGGGAGGAAGGTTGGGCAATCCTACTTCCGTAATGATACTGCCTTGGAAACCCAAGGAGGGGTCGCTATGAGTGGGGGCCGACTCGACGGCACATAACAACAACAACAACAACAGTGATCAGTAAATCGATTACTTGTCCTGAAGTATCCAATTGTATTAGTCTCAGTCACACAATTTACTTATTTAAGTGGTGGTTAGTATTCTCCTCATGTGCTGTTAAAATTTCAGAATGCAGTCTGTTTAGCCTGGAAAAGTAAACAAGGCTTATTAACACCATGTAATGTAGAATAAACCACCCTTTCTTGTCATGGGCAACAGCTGAGGCATCAAAACCAGAAACTTCTAATGCTTCAAACCATTAGAAGTGCCTTCTTATTTTTCACTTTAGGTTGACATATTGAGAAAGGAATATAATGCATTAAAGGGTAGGTCAGGTATTTACATAAATATTTTATTAATTATCAAAGATTACTGTTCTATAATGAACTCTGGCATCTTAAATTTTAGACTCAAGATGTATAGCTCCATATTGAAATAGAATTTCTTTTTTGCAGGATTTTGTTACTTTAATGAAAATGCTGAGAGGCCTAATCCAAGATGGTTATACAGCCTTATTGGACCAACGGTGTCATTGTGCTGTACAGGCCTTTTCACACTTGCTAAAAGGTTTAGATCCTCAAAAAAATACAGGTAAAATTGACATAACTTATTTATAAGCATTAATGCATCTCAGGTGAGTGTAGGAGAGAATCAAGGCTTTAAAGCCACTGCATTAATAAACCTTAGAACTTGCTGAGCTCAACTGAATCTAATCCAGGTTGTGAGAAGCAGGTAGTGTTTCACTTCAGGTTTTATGAGTACACTCAATAGGTGATCCATGTTTATACTCTGCATTTGTTAGCGCTCCTGGCCTTTTATTAAAGTGATAAACCAAGGGTTTGGACTGACTTTAGTCACATTTGCATCCAGAAAGACGTATTTGCTTGATAAATAGGTATCCAAGATGATAGGACAACAAATGTTTCATTCAGTCACTAGCACCCACTTACATGCAAAATAATATGATTTTATAAATTATTCTAATCTAATATGAACCATATTTCCCCAAGGAATTAAGAGGTGATGATTTTGTGTTTTAAATACTTGATTGTAGTATAACTGCCTATCTTCACAAAACACAGTTTTCTAATTCTGCTTGTCCTTTAAACAGTCATATTGATAAGTGAGATTGTTATTACATATCTTTCATGGTTATGAGTAGGAGGTTGGTGTAGTGCACAATTGGGCAGAATTATGTGCAGACTTAACTGGAGCATTTTTATCGATAGCAATTGAATCTGGCCATGGTCAGCTATGACCTAGTGGTCTACAGGCTTGGCCTCTCTCTCCTTGGAATAGGGAGGTTTCAAGTAAGATTTGTAACAGAGGCAGTAATTAAAATACGACGTTGCTTTGAGAATATACATAAAACTAGTTTTTCAATTTTGGGCTCCTTTTCTCCCCAGAACTTTTTTGATAATTTCATCTGAAATAAACCAAAAAAACCAAACCCATTGCCGATTCATAGCAACCCTTTAGGACAGAGTAGAACTGCGCCGTAGGGTTTCCAAGGCTGCAGATCTTTACAGAAGCAGACTGCCTCATCTTCATCCTGTGGAGCAGCTCAAGGGTTCAAACCACTGACCTTTTGGTTAGCAGCCGAATGCGTTAACCACAGCGCCACCAGTGCTAAGATCAGTTTAACTTGTGTTTTGTTTTATAGGAAATTTAGTTTGTGTTCCTATTAGAAAAAATCGATGCCAGACAACCAATATGATTTTACTTTTTACTTGTATTAAAAGTAAAGGATCTAATGTGTCATGATAGATTTCATAAATGTAATGTTGAAGGAAAAGGGACATTGAAGGACATAACAAACGTACCACTTAATGTATGATTTGAAAAACCTATAGAACAATAATGTGTATTGTTTTTGGATATCGATCCCTCTTGTAAAAATAAGAAAACATGGACTAGACCTACATCAAATTGTATGATAATGGTTGCATTACTGTCCTGGAATATTTATTTACCTGTACTTTTCTGCGTCATAATTTGCTTTCCTGGTTTTGAGTTTTCTATAAATGTCAGAATGGCTCTAGAATGACCTCAGGTGTGGTATATCCTTTCTACTAACCTAGGCTCCAAGCTTCACTGGCTAAATGAAAGTTTAACCCTGAATTGCTATACAATTAGGCTCTAAGTATTCTTTATGTTCCCCCTACCCCGTGTTCCACAGCGCCCGAGTCTCAGCATGTGCCATGCTTCTTTCCTGTGCTTAATGGGACAGGTGAATGTCTACCCACAAGGGCTATCTGGTTTTATTTTCTAATGAGTCACTGGGGGCAGGGCTTCCTGATCTCAATTTTTCTATTCTTGACAGTATAGTAATTCATATCTTAATCATATTTTGCCTCTTTAGAATCAAAGAAATAGTTTATTACATTTGTGATTTACTGGGAGCTCTGGTAGCATAGTGGCTCAGGCACTTGACTGCTAACCAGAAGGCTGGTGGTTCAAACCCACCAGCCACTCCTCGGAAGGAAGATGGGGCAATCTACATCCATAGTGATACTGCCTCGGAAACCCAAGGAGGGGTCGCTATGAGTCGGGTCTGACTCGACGGCATATAACAACAACAACAACAACATAAAGTAGTGAGACTGATCTAAAAATGAAGCAAACAGGCATGGTAGAGCTTATACATTTAAATGAGTTGCATCATTTAGATGGCTCTGAAGGAAGCCATCATTTAATCCAATACATCCCTTGCTTGGAACAGTTTTGGAATGCCTCTTTTGGAACTTCCTCAAAGCTACTCATTTTGGACCTGCATCAAAGCTACTTTGTGATTACATTTTCCTTTTGACCCATAACAGGGTTACCAGTATTGTTTAAAGCTAAATGCCTTTTGAATGTCTCTTACTCACCACCAGCAGCCCCCCCAAAAAACACGTTCAAATCACAGAAGTTACCTAGTGTTGATAATATTCAAAATAAATGTATAAAACTTTTTCTAAAGAATTATTTGAAGACAAGAGTTATTTGCAAAACATTTTGGCAGCATCACTGGAATAATGCCTTTCCTCCTGGGAAGCAGCCCTTACTCTAGTATATGTTGTGGTTGAACCACAGTTAGTCTCTTTCACACTTCATAGTGTAGTGGTGAAATTCCTATTTTCCATGCCAGAGGCTCTGGTTTAATTCTCAGGCACTGCATTTCCAGCACAGCTATCACCCGTCTATCAGTAGAGGCTTGTAGGTTGTTATGATGGTGCAAAAACGGCAAGGAGGCCACATATTCTGACCTCCTCTAATCTCACAAGAGGAAGACAG